CAGAAGATTCGAAAACAAAAAATATTCTTTTCCAAAGTTGAATATTTTTTAGAAGAGTTAAATCAGTAAGATCTCCACTCGTCTATGTACCCTTATACTATTAGAATGATTATTGATTGATTGATGAAGTTAAAGGTCCAACTATAGATAATTAAACTTCTTTAAATATTTTTGTTTTATTTTAATTATTTAATTAAATAAACAATATTAATTATAGAAATCAATAAATGTTTCATTGATTTTTATTTTCATATTAGTTAAATTGTTTAAGACAAACAAGTATTTTGAATATAATATCGAAAACAAATAATATATTATAGACTGTTCACTTTTAATAGATTATCGTAAATAATTTGTTTAACCAACGATTATTTATTTATCGGTAGACAATATATTTTCTTAACCTTTCATCAATTTTTTTTTTTTAAAGAATTTTAATATTTTAAAATAATTGACTCTATATGTAACGTATATATTTCATTTAAAATAATATAAAGAATTTTTAAAATTTAATGAGAAATAATTTAATAAGAAATATTTTCCTATATTATTATTCAAAGATAAAATTAACTTTATTTTGTTCTATTTGACTAACGAGAGATATACGACAATTTCTCAAACTAAAATTAGACGACGTCAATTGGTCTCACTGACAATTGATCACTATGACAATTAGTCACAGAATAGAATTAATCGTAATGATGAAAAATAAAATCGACAAAGATATTTCTTTATCATTATCAATAAATAATTAAGCCAAATTAAAAAAAAAACACCACATAACTAACAATCTATTTAATATCAACAAATATTATATAGGAGTATAAATATAAATATAAATGTTTAGGCAATTATTCTAATTGACCATGAACAATTATATATGAGAAAGAGAGTAAGTAGAAGGTGATTTTGATATTTTTCATTATCGAATATTTTGTTTTTTTCTTATTTTCGATCTTTTATCATGTTTCGATTTTCGCTCTTTGATAATAAATATAGTTTTTATCTTTTGATAAAGTTTGAATAGATTGAAAATGTTAATTTCAACATTGAATTACTATTTACAAAATAAGATTATCTATAAATATATTTCATAGAATAAATCTTCATATTTAATATGTCAAACAATTTTTTCAATATACTAACACTTTTTCTATTTTAATCGTTGAAATTATAAATAGATATTAAGAAAAGTTAAGAAAAAAATCATCTGACTATCGTAATTAAACTCCTCTAACTTCCTAAACATGATCAAGAATTAATAATAATAATATAAATGAGAAAAGAAATAACGAAATATATTTATTCAATGCTTTTTATTTGATTAGTTTTTTGTCAAGATTTCTATGTAAGGCAGACTGTCCTTCCCTCCCACCTTCAAAATTTATTTCAATACAGTCTATAGAAATTTCTATGAAACTTTCCACAGATATTGATTATATGAAAATAAAGGTGACAAATGTTTTTACGACTCGAAATCTTATTATTGACGAGTTTTCTATAGATCAACGCTAAAAATGGGCATTCTACACGTGAAAACTATTTTTCATCATATCTTCAAGGTATAGAATCGAGGATTAGTTTTATTTGAAAGAAAACTATTTATCCCTTTCGATAAGGGAAAAAAAAGTTTACTTATTGTTTTCTTAAATTTTTTGTATGGTCAAAACCTTGAAACATCACCAAATATCACCCGAGACTTTCAGACAGGCAAGATTTTCTATAGAACTAGAGCATATTTTTAAAAATTCCTTCTCTTCATTCGAACGAGTATAAAATACGCAAAAAAAATAACCAAAATCTCAGCTCTTTACAAAAAATTATAGATAAAAAAATTTTCACGGAGTTCGATGATTAAAGTTTTTTTTTTTTTTTCTATTTTATCTACTTATCATTGAACCTTAACATGAAATATGATCCTATCATATATCAATCACTAAAATTACTCAAGATGCGTGAATCTGTAATCCTAAGAGCACATATAATTAATAGACAATTTTTCTTTAGTTTCTATATCGTGTCACTTACGAATATTACCATAGAGAATTTTCAAAATTTTTAAGAATATTTTTTCGAAACCTTTTTTTGTGAATATTTAAAGTAGACATCTTAGACGAGACCGCTGTATGTTTATGTAAAAAATTCGTGTTTTTGACAGTAATCGAGTTTTTGAGAGGAGGGAGGGGTCGGAAGGCAATCTTAAGGTCTCGAAATAAGATAGATTTTGATAAAGAGTAAACATTAAAAAAATAATTCTTTTTTTATTTTTCAACTTAAATAATATTAATCGATATTTATATTTGTTCGATTTATCTGAAAAAAAGAAAATAAATTAAATAGAAGAAAATATTTGAATATTTTGATAATAAAAATGAAATGATAAAATATTCTAGAGTTGTTTCAAGTGAAGAAGGTCGATTATTAGCTCGTGCATGGAATGTTCATTTTATTGAAGCATCAGCTATGAATTTAGAGGTAATATTTAATTATTTTAATTTATATTATTTTAATTAATTGTGAAAAAATTAGGCTGTAAAAAAATTATTTGAAAAAAGTATTCATGCTATGAATTATATTGATCCAATAGAAGATATTAATCAAGATAATTCAATTGAAAAACATACAAATGATATTAATTCTTCATCATCATTACGGAATGGTTTCAATAGAAAACAAAATGGAAATTTATCATCGAAAGAACAATCATCAAAAACAATATGTATCATTTCCTGAATTTTACCGTTTTTCTTTTTTTCTTTTTCTTTTTCTTTTTCTTTTTTTTCTTCTTTTTCTTTTTAAATGTAAATAGATTCTTTTCTTTGTATATTACTTTCTATTATTCAACAGAAAGGTTTTGTTTGTTGTTCTATGAAAATTATTTGCAAAGAAAGAAAAGATTCTCGTTTTCCTTAGATATTTAGTATTTTATTCATTTTTACATTCAAAATCAAAAAAATTATTATTTCAAATATGAAAACAAAATCATTCTATCAACAATCGAATAGAAATAAAACATAAGATTCATTATTATACAAAGTTATATCAAAGAGTAAAATTTAATTCAAAATAGTAATTAGAATAAACAAAAACAATAAAAAGGTTAAATATTGTTTTATTTCTTCAAAATATAATATATATATATAGAATTTATTTTTTTTTTTCCTTTAAATAATAATTTGAAATTATTAGTTAAACTGAATCAATCAAAATATGATTATTAATCATAAATAGTATAATAATGATATTAATTCTCATCAATCATATTTGATAAGCTAAAAAATAAAAGAATAAGTTTTATTTTAATAAAATTTTTGTAAATATTTCTATCAGTTTTTTCTGGTTTATTATTTAAAACTTATTATTTTTTTATTAGTTTATTTTCTCGATTGATAGAAAAAATGATTATTAATCGTATAACCAATACAATTTTCTATCAAAAATATTTAACATATAACAACAAAAGAAGAGATATACAATTAATTAGAGAAATTTCAATATTTTTTATATTTATTCTACATTTATTACTCTTAAACCTTACAGTTACGATATTAACTATAAAATTCGATAAACATAAGCAACAACAACAAATGATCATATTAGCATGTATTTAACAGTGAATATCATCAAGTCTACTATAATAAGTATAAATATAGAGTTAGGTTATCATAAATGATAATATTTCAACAAAAAATCTATAGAAAATCATGAATTTTTCACTAAATCACCCATCCATAATATCGTAGGACATGTTTAAGATTTTTTTCAAAATTCTCTAAATATATAGTCTGAAATAGACTATTTCTGAGTCCGAAAGTCAACATTTATACTCATTGGCCAAATTAAAACGTCACTTATATTAAGATTGATAATGTGAGTTGAGGATAAATGTCCAAGCGTGGCTCGAGAAAAGGTTTACACGCGCATCTTAATTTTTATATTTAGTGTTGTGCAAATCTCATTGAGTTTGCATCGATTGAATTTGTATTTATCGTTTGATATACGAAGATTTATTGATAATTATAAGAATAAATCAACACGCGATCGATGATTTTTCTTCTTACGAAAATAATCAACGAGATAAAGATCTCAAAAAAAAAACAAAAAATAATTTAATCGTTTCTATGATCAATTATAAAATGTTTTGCTTCAAACAATCTTCATAACTTAGAAGAGTAAATTTGTTTTCTCTCGCTGGAATTAAAAACTCGAAAAATTTCCTTTTTCGATAAATCATATGATCGAGTTAGAAAAATGAAGAAAAAAGTAGACAAAAATTATCATCTATTATCAGATATTCTTACAGCAACTATGAATTAAGTCAACATATTAAACCGATTGACCACGAAATTTTTATTCTCTCTGCATTTTAATTATCTCGAAAGACCTAAAACCACAATTTCTACAAAAATTTACCTATTGTTGAAGTTATTTATAATCAATGAAAATGTTATACTGAAGATTGGACAACGTTGGATATCAGTTCAATCTCTATAAATTGATATATCGTTTTAACCGATATTTTCTAATTTTTCATACTTGAAATAATCACGACAGCGAACTGAAAATTTCTATATGCTTCATTTTAATTATATCGAAACCAAAAAAAAAAACTAGAAAGTTCACAAATATTTGTTATTTTTTATTGATCGGTTGCTGTAAACCAATGAATCATCTTGATAAAGATTATCAATAATAGGATCGATTCACCCTCAATAGTTTGACCTCATTCTCATTTTGTGCTTCGTGAAGTATAGTCGCATATTTCTTTTTTTTTTTTTTTTTTTTTTTTTTTCTGTTCTTTCTTTTTGCCTCTGCCCTCCTAATTCCTTACCGGGTGTCGCGTTGCCGGGCG